TTTTAATTCCATATAATTTCCATGTGTCCTGAAATATTACTCTTGATTTTTTTCAATTGTGTGAAAATGCAAAAACCATTCTTAGCCTATGGGTCATACAAAAACCAGCAGCAGAGTGTTCCAGCCTCAGGTCTACCAGATATGACAGAGAGGTAGATGGAAAAAGCATGGGAAACCAGACAAGCTAGGATAGGCTGAGCAGAGCAAAAGCAAAGCCAGGGGTCTAGGATGGGTAAAAAGTAACTGGGCCTTCACCAGACCTATAAGTAGGACAAACACAAAGACTACAGAAACAGAAACGAGAACCAATGAAGTTTCACTGTTACTATTTTTCTTTTATTTTAAACCAGTTCTAAGTAATAATGATGTCTACATTTAATTAACTAAGGGCCGAGGAAGACAGAAAAATAAATTGTATCGTTAGAAGTCATTAGTAATACTAGATAAAATGAAGAACAGAGAAACTAAACGTGAAAACTTTTTCAAGGTATTAAGTTTACCATTTTCAGCACTGCTAAAATGTAGTCCTTGTCTCTGCTGCCCACTCTCCAGTAGAGATGCAAATGAGTAGAGAAGCAGGCAAAAGACTTGAAAGCAGACAAAGGGATTCCATCTCAGAATAACCAGGGATTGACTGTCCTGTGCAGTCCCAACCTGGCCTGCTGCATAAAGCCGTGTAAGTCTCTCAAGTTAAGAGGGGTTTAGAGTCTGAGTCTGCTTCTCTCATTAAAAATAATTATACGGTAACTTTTTAGATAGCACACATGGTTATTACATAAAAATTCCAAAATAAAGAAGCCAAGAGATGAAAACCCAAGTTAGGGTATCAGTGGCTACATTGTAGACTCTGTTTTCCTTGACTGCATATTATGTGTATGTGTGTACAAACTTAAAAAAAAGAAACTCTCATTTTGTGAAAAAACTAAAGGCCTGATAAACTAGCTCAAGACTGCACATAAAATGAGTCTGTGAAAACACAGGATGAGAACCCCTGCTTATTAGGCCAATGCTACCCTCTGCTATCAGCAACACAAATAAATGATTAGCAACCCAACTAAGTCAGTGCCTTGGCCATACCTGGTGTTCGCGAAATTAATAATGTTGAAATGAATGATGATGCTAGCTGGGTGATACCATTTCTTTATCTCAGTTCAGCTCTGCCCAAGCCAGTTTTATTACAGATGCTTGTGATTATCAGTAACACTGGAGAGCACAGTTTTCAAGACTGTCAAACACCAAAGGGCACAAAGGGATGGGAGAGAGCCCCTCTAGCAGGATCTGATCTGTAACAGGCTTGTTGTTACCCACAGTACTGTAGTTGGCAATATACTTTTGTCTCTCCTTTAAAGTGAGGCATTATTGTGAATCCTTTACAGACTAGTTTATTAGGAATCCAGTGTTGGGTTCTGCTGAGGGGAGCATCTGAAGAGGCAGAAAGTGTCAAGACATCTGCATAAAATTTGCCTTAAGTTGACTGAGTAAGATCAGATTTAACCATGACTAAAATAATTTCTTAGGTGCCTATTCATGTCAAGAATCACAGCACACTAACTTCATGACAGGGAAGGGATAATCTACATTTTTGCCAGAGTTCTTTGCTTCATTAACCATCTGGTTTGGGTTGGGGAACTGTGGATAGGCAACAATTTAGGAAGGGGAGCTCATACGGAAGTGGCATGGAAGCACTTGATGTGACAGCTCTAATGAAAAGGGAAGTGTAGTTTTTAAAGAAGCCAAACGGCATGACACATGATGAGAGAGTGACTAGATAGAGAGACTTGGGAAATTCCCATTTCCCAATGACTTAAGGAAGCATATTTAAATGTACCCACTTCGGAGGGTTTGGTGAATCAAGCTAGCACCTTCCCTCTATCAAGAAGATGCTTGATTATCAATAACACTGGGGAGCAGAGTTCTCAACAGATGGTGAAACCCCGAAGAGCACAGGGAAGATCACGGAAGATGATCATGGGCCCAGGGCCTATCCAAAGACACTCAGTGAAGGGAAGCTAGGGCTTTGGGAAGTGCTAGCCCATGTGAAAACAGAATCAGACATTCTAGGGAACCAGACTGTATAACCAGGTATTAAGTATCTGAATGCTATGTTTGCTGTATTGTATTAATTATGACGATCTTATCTTTCAAATAATGATGCATAATAGCGTTGTCATGCATTTACAAGGTCCCTTATTGTTAATATTTATGCCATGGCCTGATTCTAACACAAAAGATGGACTCTCTATGGCAAAGAACTGCAGTTCAGCAAACGCAGAGTTTATTAATACCTGTTATTTTTACCTGCCCAGGATTCTTGGAGAAATGGCATCCAATTTGTCTTTGGAAAATTTCCAGGTGGAGGCCCTTCTCCCACTGCATGTGGTCCTACCAAAGAATGTCACTGGAGTACCCTACTACCACCTCGCCATTCAAGGGGGTGGTTACACAAGAAAGGCCATTACAAATCTCTGTACTAGAAATGGTAACCTCTAGTGGAGTCACAAAGGCGAAAAGTGGTTAGAGCTAAAATGGTGCAAAGGCCATGCTCCAAAGGAGCTCCCTTGAGTTCTGTGGGTTCTTTCCACTCTTTCTTTCATCCATTTTTTTTTTTTAATTCCTGAGTGCCTCCTACTATGTGCAAAGCACTTTTTAGGTGAAAAAGATAAAACAGTGCAGAGCAGAAAGAAATCATCAATCTCACAGAGCTTACAGTTTAGAGACAAGACAACAACAAGTAACCAAAACTGCCAAATATATAGTGCCTTTGATGATGACATGTACTATGGGGAAAAAATTAAGCCATGCTAGGGAGTGTGGGGGCTGGAGCTGCAATGTTAGAGCAGGAGGAAGATTTCACTGAGAAAGGAAAGAATGGAAGAAAGAGATGTCAGACTTCGGGAGTTAAAGGCCGAAATCCTGGGGCACAGCAAACAAGGCTGGGAAGGAGCAGAGAGGAAGGCAGGAAAGAAGTCAGGGGAACGGCAGATGGAGGACATATTTCAAGATGAACGCAGGGAGAAATTGTGTTAAATCCTTCAGAGTTTCCAAGGAAGGGAAGGCTGAAACTGATTTAGTGATGCAAAGTCCTGGGCAACACAGATATGAAGTGTTTGGTGGGTAGGAAGGCCTGCGTAGCTTCAAGAAAGAACGAATGGAAGAGACACTTTGGGAATAGCAAGCACAGACAGCTATTTGAGAAGTGAAAAGAAGAACACAGAGAAATGAAACACTATTCAGAAGAAGAGGGAGGATTGGGAAAGGTTCTTTGCAGTTGTTTTCCTGGTGTTAAAGGACTAGAAATGATAGTGTGCTTATGTGTTGATAGGAAAGATTTAGCAGAGAAAGAAAAGTTCGTGATATAAAAGGAAGATGGGAAATACACTGGAGTTGAGTCCTTACAGATACAATAGAGAGTCAATGGCTCTGGAGTAGCAGGAAAGGGACTGACAGCTCCCTGCCGCCCAGGAGGTATGCTGGAAATCCAGACACAGGGTGAATGTGGAGGTAGCTCATGGAAGTTTTCTTCCAACTGCATCTATTTTCTCATGGAGGTAGGAAGCAAGATCTGAGACAATCTTCTCAAAGAGAAGAACCAATGGCCTAGGAAAGTGCAATAGGATGCCAGGCCCCTGAGACTGCTTTGCAAAGTCTGATGCTTTGATTCTCCTATACAATTAACTCAGAAGTCATACAATAAATTTTCTTCTAGTTTTTAAATTAGCCACTGTGAAGATTTGCTGCTTAATAAAAAAAATTAACACTCTTTTTTGAGACCTATGCTACGCCATTTTCTCACTGAAAGTCTGACTTTAATGAAATAGTGATTTTACTCTGCCCAATCCTATGCACTTCAAGTGCAGAAGACGTTCTTACATATACAAACAAAACCACAAATTTTACTTTATCACCTGCTAAACAGAATCAAGAAAAAATGAGTTAAACTTAAAATAGCAAATTGAAGACACTAAATCAGGACTCCAAACTGCTTGAAGAAAAACGTTCTTTTATATGTGAGAAAGCAGAAAGGAATAATACCACAATTCAAACACATGAACGTTTCTGGAAACCCTTCACGAGTTAAACTGCACAAGATTAAAAAGTATCAAGACAAAATGGAGTTGAATATACATACAACCTTCCTTACTTCAGTGTAGAATACTACTTCAATACAACTTCTAGTAATTTGGGAAGGAAATCCATGTGCAGAGCATAATTAGGAATAAACCAGACAACAGAGAGAACATTTTTCACAGTGGATGATAATGTTTGGTCCAGGAATGCATCTGAGAGCAGTAAAACTGAGTCAGAGACAAGGAAAATCAGAGTCTCCCAGAAAGAAAAACATTTCAAAGATTACAAAGATGAATGGAAATTTCCAGACCATGCAGCTAAGATGACTCTTCATGATATAACGTGTCATCTCCCTCCAGGAAATTAAGAGTTATTAAGCTGCAGCAAAGACAGCTGCTTCTGAGATGAAATCAGCCTTGTTACACCAAGGCACAGGATGGGAGAGAGGAGGAGGAGAAAGAGCCACTTTTCATGGAAGTGAGCCCCTCTCAGCCTGCACTTTTGAGCAGGTGCATTCTCTTTGGGGCACTGAATCACAGACAGCCCTAAATCCTCACAGGGACATGTGAGGCTTGGTGTAAGGTGGGACCTGAAACCAGATATGAACAGCTCTTTCTACCAGCTGGCCCTAGCTGGCTCATTTTTTGCTAGGAAGAGTGAGATGCTCAGCTCTTTAGGCCAAATGTACACAAACTGCCAAAAAAAAAAAAAGCAATCCAAAAATAAACACACGAACAGCAGAAATCTCCTAAGTGGAAGAGAGCTCTGTGTATGCACATGTATACAAACACACACACACACACACATTTTCGACATCCAGCCCCACAAATTTTGCTTACCAATAACATAACTGTGAAGAAGGCCCTGTCAAGTCAGTGAGAATGCCTTATTTTAATTGCTTTTCTAATTGCTCCATTTTCCCCTACTTTAAGGCACAGCTCCATGATCTTCTTTTTCCCGTGTCCTGATTTCTCAGATTGCGAAAGCTAACATTTACGGAGGGTATACTACATGTTTGACACATTTCTAAGAGCTTTACATGGATTTAATTCTCACAACTCTAAGAGGGTAAGTACTATTATTGCCTTTAGGTTTTCTATAAAGAAGAGAGTGAAGTAAATAAAGTCTTATAGGACACTACTTTTTCTCAGGAGGAATGAGGCAGAGAACCTAGCTATCGCCTTGTTCAAAGACCAATACTTGCTCAAGCTCAGGCTCATTTACAAAGAGACTGTATAGTGACTGCTTAGAACCTCCAGCTTCATCTCCCACTGGCCAAAGGCTTTCTCCTCAGACTACTGTGAAATCCCCTGGCTTCCAGATTATAGGTGTGGTGACACCATTTTGTGTCATGTCTCCCTGGAGCAGGTGTTTGGGGTGGGGGCCAGTAGGGCTTAAGAAGCACAGGGCACACAGTAAAGTACAGGAGGCTACAAGCTATCAGGCCACATTTTCATGGAGCAAGTTAGAGGCTCCAAACTGTCACTAGAAGGGTGGCTGTAAGACAGATAAGAGAAGGCTGAGGCAGGAATGCCATGAATTCAAGGCCAGCATAGGTTACACAGAGTTAAAGGCCAGTCTCAACTACACAGCAAGACTCTGTCTTAAAAAAAAAAAAAAAAAAAAAAAAGACAGACAGGACAAGTAAGAGAAGGTGATGTGTTAATTTAAAAGTTTCTGATAAAATTATCATCACCTTTTTTTTTAGATAGGGAAATTTAGGGATAGAGAAGTCACTCATGCAAGGTTACAGGAGCGATAAGATTAAAATCAGGCAGTCTGGCTCCAGAATGTTTTCTGTTAACCACTGGGCTCTCAGCCCCAATAGGTAAACTTCAAATACCTGGAAGTTTACCTTCCACATTTAGACACAGTTGTGGTGAAGAATTGGTGAGAAACCAGTCAGAGTAAGAAAGGATCACAAAGGATGATCACCATATAACACAAAGAGGGCTCATCAAGAGAGGACTCCAGGGCCCAAAACAGAGAAAGAGAGATGGAGCAACTTTCCTCTTAGTGCCACTGCACAAGAAGTCTAGGCTCTGCAAGGGCTGACAAAGGGGAAACTAAAGCATGTTCACTTTTGTTGATGCTTCAGCTTTTATAATACCCCTAAAATAAACAGAGTCAGCAACTAAGAAGGGAAAAGATAGTATCCTCTTCCCTGAATTTGAGATCGGAACTCCATGGGTGATTCCCTGAGTTCCAAAAAGGAAGAGGCAAATCAGAAAACAGGAAAGTCATTGAAAAAATAAATCCAAACAGAAGTGGAACAACTCAAAACAAATAAGAGGCTCAAATCAAAGGAGCCTAAGACTGTGGAGACTAACAGCTTGAAGTCAGGCATTTCCCCTTAAAAATGGGTGTTCCATGAGATGGGAAAGATGTTGTTTCTTGAATTCAGCAATTTTGCTGATTTTTTTTTAAGCAAAAAATTTAAACTGAACTTATATCTTTCCTTCTCCTCACCCGGGCAGCTGGAAAGCCACAGACCAGAGAAAATCTTGTGCAGAAAGTGAAGAACTGGCAACAAGGCTAAATAAGGGTCGAGCTCTGACTTCTGCATTTCCATTAATTTAAAGTGCTAAGTTGCCTGTTTGCTTTAAAATACATGGTCGTCCTCTCTGCAGTGTCCCTTTAAACAGATTTTCCTTTGGCTCTGCCAAAAACAGTTGGAGAAGGTCCTTTGAGAATCCCATTCTTAGTCTTACAAAAAATACACACTTTTCCCTTCTCCATAAGCATAAATAGGCCTGGAAACAGCATCACCTACTTCTTCCAAGGAACTGCTAGTCTATCAAAAATAATTAATCTTTCAGGAGAATAAAGGAGCCAGTCAGGGAAGTAACTAACCCAGTATATTTCTGCCTATTTATTTATGTGAACAACAAATACTGAGTTCTTTTGGGATAAGCAGATAGGTAGGTTACAGGTTGAAAACCTTTTAAATGCCTTCAAGGTGGCCAAGTAGGAAGCATAAAAAAAGTCAGCCAGCCACAAGAAAAAACAGGGACTGTGTGGAACTGTGGCAAACTGGAGAAGGCACACCCTGGATGATAGGGTGTGGCTTCTCCTTGGCTCAGGCCAATTGTCAGCACAGAGGTTGGATTTTTCAAGTAAAATCACCCCCTTAAAAAATGTCTGAAACCTGTTCAAAGTTTTAGAACAGCAATGTGTGGGATAATGCTGCCAAATAGAACACATATGGGCTATTCCAGCTACAGGCCTTGTTTGCAATTTCTAGGTAAAAAAACAAAGCTGAGGGAGACAGACTGCCTGTCCCCTGAGGGCTTCTGATCTAGAAGGAATGAGAGAGGCACCTGGTAAACAGTCCCACTGGTGGAAAGTGATACATGAAAAAAGAGAGGAACAACAAAGGCTGGGGGAGTTTAGGAAGGTGAGAGGGTACTTGAAGCAGGAAGGGATCTTGTAGGCTGAGGCATGTGAGCTGAAGCTAGAATGAGGTAGCCTTTGGCAGGCAGAGGCTGGGGAGGGGCTGTTCCAGAAAGAAAATGAATTGCAAAAAGTTAGAAGATGGAGCAGGAAAGTGGATGTTTGAGAAACGGTCAAGAGATTATTCATGTTTCAGCTCGATAAATATTTCAGAGTGTCTACTTTGTGCCACACAGTGGGAATACAATGGTAATCATGAAAGACATAAAAGAGACTGCAAATTTCAAAAAAGCTTGGTTCAGACAAGACCTTGGAGGCTGTATCTTAAGAGGGCTTTATCTTAAGAGCAACAGGGAAACTGCCTTTGAAGTTTTGGGTTTTTGTGGTTTTTTTGATACCAGGGATCAAACTGGGGACCAGCACTTATGAGGCAGGTGGCAGTACCACTGAGCTAAATCCCCAACCCTGAAGTTGTTTTTTTTTTTCTTTGGTACTGGGGATGGAACTCGGGACCTTGCGCTTGCAAGGCAGGCGCTGGAACCACTGAGCTAAATCTCCGGCCCAGCCCTGAAGTTTTTTAAAACTTGGGAATCAAATGTTGCGTTTTGCCATTTGCAAAGTTCACTGGTGGCAGGGCCTGCACTTCCTGGACTAGAGAGGAGCCAGAGTGCCAACAGTGAGAGTCCACCAGAGGCCGACTCTTCATGCAGTCTGGGAAAGATGTAATATCTTGGACTAAGGAATTAGTGATAAAGACAGAGCGAAGTAGATGGGTTCAGAGATAGGGGTTAAAATCACTAGAACTAGTGGGTGGGAGTAGCAGAAGGAGTTTAAAGAATGTATTCAGTGGAACTCCCTGGGGGTATCAAGCAACACAGCAGTGGGCCAGCAGCCGCACAATTCTGCATTGGCAGCAGAGGGTGTCCAGTGGTTATTAAAGAGAACAAAGGTTTGGGAGCCAGCACGTCTGGCTGAAGGGCAGCAGCCAGAGAAGCTCACAGGAGCCTCCCATCTTAGAAAGCCATCACCTCAAAAATACTGTTTGCTTTAAATGTGCTTTGTAAAGTTCCACAGCTATTTTGTTTGGACAAGTGTTGATGGCAAAGAAATCACTAGCTCTCTCTGTGTTTAACAGCTCATCACTAAGCTAACTGTTATCTTTTAGACTTGGGATGGAAGAAGAAAGAATATTACAGTATCTGCAAGACATGTGTTAATGCCAGGGATCAACACCCGTCTCTTTTTATTTTGACCTTTTCTTAAGAACTTCAAAGAATGCTATTGAGCCACCAGGGCCCATCTTTCTTGGTGCCAAGGCCTATCAATGAGTTTCCTTATAACCACAGGCATTTGTTCATGAACTCGATTTACTCTTTCTAGATCACTAATAAAATATGAATATATCCCCTGATCTGCAGGGAAGCCTGCAAGTACTCAAACTTCAGTCACAAGAATGAGAAAAAAGCCATACTACCAGATACTCAATCCTTGATAACTTCTGCCAACACAGTCTATACATTACGATAAAGTTTCATTTGTATGCCAACCACAGACCCCACGATTTTTTTTCATGATCCCTGCGATTTACAGAATTGTATCCTCTCTAAAAAGTTACACCATGTAACAGATGATCAAAATAAACAGACAACTAGGTAATGAAAAGAACAATAAGGACAAAGAAAAAGGCAATGGGACGAGAGTTAGTTTTTCCTTTATTTCTGTTTTATCTTCCTCCCTCAAAATCTCATAGTTTAGTACCCATGTACTCATCTCTCCTCTCAAATTGGCCTTTTGGTGCCAAATGTCTTGATTGAGGTAACTCACTATGCAAAAGTCATTTAATAAATTTAATGCTCTGTGTTGAATGCTATTTTATGAAGACTACTTGCAGCAGACACTGTGGGCTGCCTAGGCAAAACTAAGCTTTTATTCTGGTGTTTGTGTCTCCCACAAGCAGCTCAGCTAACTTGTTCGGTGCAAAATAAGCATGGTGGTCCGTTTTTCTTTTCTGGTGATTGTTTTGGACTAAGGAGACAGGATGAGAAGTCTGCTTGAGAACATCTGGGAAAAGGATCACCATAAAAAAAATACCACCATAGTTCTTAAAGAGACTCAAAGAAGAAACAACACCTCTTCTGCCTCTGATCAAGAACCAATGTGCAAGGACACGCTGTAACAGTCTATGACCCTGAGAGGAGCTGGTCCACACAATGAGGCTCGATCAGCAAGAACATGGAAATAACCTGAGTCCTTCAGGAGCCAAGAAATTAACCAACTCTCAGAACTGATTTTGTGTAATCACACAATAGATTTCCTTATTGTTTAATCCATTTAGAATTGAATTTTCTGTTTTGTACAGCTAAAAGCATCCTAAATGTTACCACCTTGGAGAAGCAAAACAAGGTTCTGCCTCTCTGGCAACATCCTAGCAACAAAAGAATAATCCCCCATCCCCACCCCAAAAAAGAAAAGAGACTACGATTTATTTTCCAATAAGTATTGTGGGAAAACCAGCTGTGAAAAGATATTTTTAATAACAACTCCTAATGTATGGAGAGTCCTATGAAATCCTCCTACACTGCATAAACACTGTAATAAAGTTACAATGAGCCATTATGAATGGTATGTGTGGGGATATACAATATACTTGGAGTCATCATAATATGTAAACATTAGGAAACTACCATGAAATTAGTCTTTATTACTCATCTACTCGTATTTTCTTCTACAATTATAAGATCAGAAAAATGTTTTTCTTCTTCCTGTACCAACCCCATCCATTATATGAAAACACAGAACTGCAGAATTGATAGGAAACTCAGAAAAATGAGGCTCAAAGAGGTAAAATAATTTGCACAAAGTTCCAAAGCTAGCTGGGGACAATTTTCTTCATAATTAAAAATGTTTTATATAAGACTGTTATTTGTTGAAAGCTCGATGTAATGCAAAGTCAAATTGCAAAGTCTTAACACAGGATTTGTTTTTTTACTAATTTAATCATGAAGATAAAATTGTTGTGAACTCAAAGCTTTAAGCTGCTTCTTCCTCTTACTAATACTCTCCTAAATCCCAATCCATATTCCCCTTAATACCATCCCTGTCTCTTGGAAAATCTTTACATATGGCCCATTCTGTAGGCCAGTGGATCTCAAAAGATTGTTTGTATAATAATTACCTAGGAAATAAATCAGAAATGCAGATTCCCAGGAGGGATCTCATTTAGTAAACCCAGAGTACAGCCTAGAACTGCCAAAGTAAACAAGCACCCCAGGTGATTCTAACCACGCTCTGAGGCATGTGACTCTAGACTGTACACCAGACTCCAAGATCTGAATAGAAAACATCTAATTATCATAGTAAATTTAAGCTGGAATGACAAAAATATGTGCATGGTTGCCTATAATTTTTATGTTCCCTCTGAGGTCTGAAACAAACCCAGCATCTCTGTGATTTGGATGTACCCTGGTAATCATTTGTTTTAAGAGGTTTGGTGTTTTTATCTTTTCCCTCCAAGGCTTTTTTTCTTCTGAATGTTTTTTTCTTCAGGATTAATACAAAATGCTATACCTCTCCCTCAATAGTCAGAGGAAATCAATTTTGGAAAAGGTTTCAAAAGAATACTTTAAAAAAATACACAATACAGAATGACTGGACTTTGAAGCAGAAGCCTGAGATGCACCAGGCAAACAGTGGGTAACGAGAGAAGTAAACACTGAGTTTTCCAGCAGAATAGGCCCTGAAACCAAAACTTAGGAAGGAAGCTGACCATTAAGCAAGTGGCCTAAAAGAACAATAGTTCAGGCAAATCCTAGGGCAAGTCCGAACCTGAGAAAACTGGAATTAGACAAAGCTCTTATCCCAAGTTAACGTTCCCTTGAGGCTGAATTTTAAAATAAGGACAGTGCTATAAGTGGGAATATAGTTTCAGTGGAATCTTAGAACTCCCATGGGTGCCAAAGAAATTTTTGGGACCTAGATAAATACTCTTTACTGGATTCAGCAGTGCTCACTTACACCCATCTCCCTCCTCAGGGACATATTCAATCTGGAGGCTCTGCAGACCAAGAACACAGCACACTCAGAACTGGAGTCTGAGTTTTCCAATACCCACTCTGACCAACTCACACTAAGGCATGAGAGCTCACCTATAGGTAGACTTTTTAATGATTAAATTAATAAAGAAATCCCATAAAGCCAAAGAAAGTCATTCTCAAGTATCAAAATTAAGACACAGTGCTCTAGAAATGCTAGGGAATAAAATAACTTCAGCAACAAAATGGTTAGAAGACAAAAAGCCATGATCACAACTGTAACTCACATATTCCAGTTGTATTATGCCTTAAGTTGGGAATGAGGCTAGACTGAACTTAATGGAATTGGGGAAGGAAAGGGTGGAAAAAGGGAGAAATGAACCATCCATCATTCATTCGTCAGGGGATGAATAGGCTCAACTGTTCAAGAGCTACCTTCAGGGTTAGGTTTCTTCCTCATCTTGTTAAATAGTCCTAACAATTCTCAGGGCAATTTACAAATGGGAAAAATTCAACACTGGCCCTACTGAATCACCATTCACTCTTGGTCTCTTTGAGTCCAAGTAAGTGCTCACTCCAGTAGCAGTCTGACAAGACCCACTGCTTTCAGGTGGTTTCCTAACCTTTCTCCAGATGCTCCTCGCAGCCCTCAAGGCCTCCTTCAGATGCAGTACCATAAAGCGGTCACAAGCATCCCCACATATAGTTGGCTGGAATATGTACCAAGAATCTTTGCAACTAAGATAAAAACCAGCTTTCTAGTTTAACAAATAGGTTAAGTGGAACAGGTACTAAACTGTCATCTCAGAGCATGTAGAGCTACTTTTTAAACCCTAGTTCCCATTATTTTACAGACATTTTATCAGGATTCATTTTGGGGATAATCTCCCTATAAATTCACATGTTCTCTGCTATACTTGTTTCTGGACATGCAGTTCTGATATGGCATGGCAAAAAAAAAAATCTATCAATAATGGAACAATACTCAACTGTAGCTCGCTGCTTCTCATTAACACACAAAACACATTCCTCATCAGGCCTGCACCATATGAAATTAAAAAAAAGATAGGACTGGGGATTTTTCAGTGGTTTCGCTGCCTGCTGCGCAAGCGCAAGGACCCGAGTTCAATCTCTGGTACCAAAAAAAAAAAAAAAAGATAAAGACACAAACACACAAAAAAACAACATTAATTTCTTCATACTAGTGCAAATCTTTTTTGGATGGGCGTTTAGAGAGAGTCTTGCTCTGTAGTTCAGGCAGGCCTTGAACCCTGAACTCACTATGTAGTCCAGGCTGGCCTTGAACTCAGGGTGATCCCCCCGCCTCAGTCTCCTGAGTGCTAGGATTACAGGTGTGCACCATCACACCCAGCCATATGCATATAAATCCTTATGGTACCTACAAGCTTTCTCTCTAAAAGGTAATGTCACATGCTTGTCAACAAGAAAACTAAGCATCACATTCTCTCTCAGATGAGTATCAACTTATCCCAAAGGACTAATTTAACAGCATGAGCCAAGGGCTAGTAAGGGGCAAATTTAAAACACATCAGTTCAGCAGAATTTTGTGCTTAACAATTTATGTTAAGTACTACATGCTCATTCTTTTCTTTTGCTCTAGTCAACAATCAAGAACATTCCATCAAAGTTAATGGAAGGTTAGAACATAACACACACAAGTGACTGACACAGCAAGGGAAGGCCATTCCAAAGAGTCAAGCAACAGAAAATACACAAAAAAAATTCAAAACCATTCCAACAATGTAAATACTCCCAACAGGAAAATCAGGCCCTCACTGAATGCTTTGACTATCTCAGAGGCCAAGTGAACATTTGCCAAAAATAATTCCTTTATTCTGTATATTTCTTCAAAGGCTTTAAAGTCAATGACCTTATAGACAGATTCTATTTTAATCTGCACTTGCCCAGTGAAGAAACTAAGGAATGGGAGGTTCAGTGGTTTGTTCAAAAGGGGTTGAGAGTCTTTTTCAAAAGATAGTCAGCTCTAGAATCCAGGCCTCCTTATTCCAAATCCAAGTTCTATAAACCCACAACATATTCTCATATGTCCTTGGATCATCAAGAGAACATATAAGCCCTAAAAACTATGTGGTGACCTGGCATTGTGGATGACACATTCTGGTTTACCCTTGATCAGGACAAGAACAAAATTTCCCTGCAAACTCTGCTTGGCGGCCTGGCCATAAGGCACTTCCCCAGCGTCCTCTGTGAGAGCCATCTGGCATTTACTGCTGTTATCCACTGCAGTTAACATTTCACACATTTCTTTCCTAAGCCTCCAGCATACCTGATGCAATAGTGAGAGAAGAAAACATAAGCAGAACTGAGACTAGCTTTACTGCTAAGATAAGAACTTTCTGGGGGTGAAAAAGGGGCCAGCAATCAGTCATAACCTTACTTGGCCAAGTGGTTCATAAGCAGCTGTAACATCTGTCGATTTTTCTCTGGGAGCCGATGAACAAGGCTGTGGATTTCAGAGACCCGAGTCTCCTGGTTCTCCAGCTCTGCAAAGGAAGGAGGGAGGTAATATTTTTTCAGTTTCCACCTAACTCACTTTAAAAGACAAAATCAAGGGAAACCAAAGTTTGGACACTAACAGATCAAGAATTTCTCATTTATGATCCGTGTTGTGTGGGAACTGCGTGACTAGCACAGCCAACTAGGTCTATAAGTCCTTTTCAATGATGCTTTCTGTAACAGAGTTCATCAAATTGTCAAAATATTTGAGGCAAAATGGTGACACGATGAAAGGGAGCTACTCAACTGCACACCCAGGGCAGGAACAAACTCAGGAACAGCTGGATCCCTAGAGGGCCAACTTCATTTCAAGGAAGGAAGGAACTTTGTGCACTGCGAAAGTGATAAACAAATCTTCCATCAAGAACATTGCAAGGGTCTCAAATTTCAAAATAACGTGTTACGACTGCATCAAAGAAACCAAAGCAAAGGTGCATTATTCTCTAGTTATGCATGACAGCAGCCTGGTAGAAAGAAAGCAATGGCAGACAAAGTATTTAAATCTTACTGCCACCCTGTAACCTATATCATGGCTTGTCATATTTTTTTGGTTAAACTTGGGTAAGTGGCTTCATTTCTCTGGGAAGTAGATTGCTGATACTCAATGGATCTATTTATGGAACTGAGTGAGTTTTAATTAGAGAATGGTTGCTATGGGTTTGGAATTTCTCTGAAAAAGAAATCACATAAACACCATCTACACTCTCAGATTTCTCCCATGTCTTTCTCCTCCTCGTTTTAAGAGGACAACTATGAGTAGATAAGGTCACCAGAACATGAGGTACTATTAAATTAGGTCAGTAGTAGTTACAAGGGTAAACAAACCCTAAAGGCTGAAAGGAACCAGGGAGAGGTACAAGCTATCGACACAATAATACTGTGTAAATAGCCAGATTTAAATCTGATAGAGAATCTAAATGCCCCTTACAGGAGGCCTATCCCACATAGACAGATTCCAGTATACTTAGGCTAGCTTGCGCCTAATCCCTATGTATTTTAATACCAGTAATATGACACTAGGGACCTGGATGATATGGGCGAAGACTGATCAGAAGTTGTAAATGGAAGACAAGATGGAAAGAGGACTGTGAAGTTATATAAATGGTATCGCATTCAGGGAAACACTTTCAATGCTCAATTTAGGTAATGTGCAATATCTGATTCATTCTGCAAAATGCCACTCAAAGGATGGGGAAAACCCAAGAAGTTAGAACTCCAATAATAAAAACTAGAAAGGCAAAATTTGCCTCTTTCTCTTCTTCTACCACTCAAGAAAAATATCTCTGAAGTTTCTATCCTCCTCTATAAATTCAATGTCATAGCAAGGCCCTTAGCAGTCTTGATTTGACTTCATTTCTATTCTATGTCTTCTAAGCATATATGTGAACACTCAGATGTAGAACATAATGGATTAGAGAATATTTTGAGATACTGACTGTTGGTTGAAATAGAAAAATCTATTTTATTCCTCTTAAAACTGCAAGAAAAGTTAACTTACTTGCTGCTTTGATGAAACTTCTTTGAAACTGGTACATCATAAGTGGTCCTGGAAGCATTCTGGAATATAAAGATATAGACTAGTCAGCTCAATAATAAAATAATCACATTTCTCTAAACAGCAACCTAAAGACTGCCGAAGGGTATTACATTTCTCAGACAAAGATCACAAGGAAACAAAGGCAACTCAATAGTTTCTCGATTGAAAAGGGTTTGAAATCCTCATTCTCTTTTTTTTTTTTTGGAAGGAAGGAATGGCTATAGCTATACTTCGTAGTCACAACTAGAAAAATTCTAATGCAAAAGTCTAGCACAAACCAAGAGATTTTCTTTTCAGTCAATGACTCACCTATCAACAAGGGCATTTTAGGATGTATTTCAGAAACAAGAAACTCACTACACATTTACAATTGCCTGTGCTTAAACTCTCATCTTTTCAGCAATTTGTTGTTATAAGTTCAGATGGAAACATGATGAAAAGCCTTTGGAGGTATTTTGTTCCACAGTGGAGTTTTGCTCCAGAGTCCCACCAGGCTGGAATCCCTAACATTAGGCATAATACAAGCAAATTTCACCTGCTGAGTATGAACACATTTATATACAAACCTGAGTTTTTTCTGATAATTCAAATAATAAACGTTTCAACAGACTATACATCATTCATGGCTTAGATTTTCTTCTTATTGGATACCCTGGGCCCTACCCTACTTGATCTCTTAGTCATCCCTCGCATTTCATCTTACTCCTTACTTCAGTTTGAACTACAATATTCATCTTCAAATTCATCCTTCAGTCTATTCATAAAACAGAGATACAGGGGCTGGGGATTTAGCTCAGTGGTTCTGCCGCCTGCCTCGCAAGCGCAAGGTCCCGAGTTTGATCCCCAGTACCAAAAACAAAAGCAAAAAAACCCCAGAGATACGGGAAGTAGTCAATAATCCAAGGGACACAGAAAGAGGTAGCAGCGATATCATTTCAGTAATATAAGAAAAGTAGTCCCTTTAGTAAGGTAATACAATGTACTGTACAGTACTTCCTAATGTACATGAAGGAGTCACATGGAGTTCTTCTAAATTCTTACTTTTAAGGACCAATGTAAGCAATACTCTCTGGGCAGAGCACAAAACTATCAAAATACATGGCAACTATGTATTCTCAGCAGAATGGGATACATGATTTCTTACTTTCTTAATAGATTATTCAGGGAAGTCCACATTTTAGGTTTTGTTCCAGGCTAATTACTACAGTACTTCTCATTAAGAGCAAAACTTCCTAAATCACTCTTGGTACCATCCCCCAATGGCAACCCATCAACTATGGATGATTTACACTTGGCTTGACCATCTGAACCAAATGCACCTACACAGAAGCTGTTTCCACGTTTCAAACACCCACCCAACAGCTCTCTGGGGCTGAAAATAAAACTGCTGTCTTCCTGACTGCATGATAACTAACTGGCACCCTGCCCTGCACATGGAAAGTCCCTACCTTAGGTAGGTCTTCAGAGCACTCGTGATGGTCTTTATCTCCCATTCAGCACAGATATCTGTTTCCGTCTCAGAAGCTGTTTTGGGATCTAAAATAAAGAAAAGACAATGCACAAAGCAGAACATAAATACAGCTAATAAACAAGTGCACATAAAAGCATTCAACCTTGTTAGTAACTGAGAAATGAAAATTAAAACAAAAGTGACACATACTTTTTGCTTAATATATCTGGGAAATATTTAAAAGCCCAAATGTCTAGTGCTGGAAGAATGCAGTGAAACTGATTTTCTCATAAATTGCTGGAGGCAGTAGAGATAAATCCAACAGTTCTGAAAAGCAATTTGGCAATATGTATCATCAAGAGTCTTAAAAATGTTTATATCCTCTGAACCGGTAATCCCATTTCTCACAATCTCTCCCCAGGAAATAAGATAAGGCATGAGAAAAGTTACAAATCCTAGAAATGTTCTGCAGACACTTTATAACAGTGGAAAAAGCACACAGACAACCTAAATGCCTGCTCATAAAAGAATGGTTAAATGACTTACAGTATGTCTCCCTAATAGACTATTATGTTACCATTTACATGATACTGATGACTGTATAGCAATATGGAAAATGTATTATGTAATGTCAAGTAAAAAAAACCAAGATATAAAACTTTGTGAGAAACTCATATGAACAAGGGCTGAAAGGAAATACTCTAAAATTAAAATAGTGGTTGGGTTAAAGTGGTGAAATTGTGGTTTTTATATTTTCTAAACTGTGTATGACTTGATTCCATTGCTTTTATATATTTTTAAAATTACATTAAGATCAGATGTGCAATGAGCACAACCCTAATTATATTGGCTCCTGATAATTTCCTCTCTAGTCTCCTCCTGTGAGGAGTTTTAAGCAAATGTGTGTATTTTAAGTAAGGGCACTGTAAAAGGAGAGAGGGAGTTCTTGTAGTATTCCTGAGCAGCACGCAGGCAGGTGAGAATAAGAGTCGGTGGCTAGGGCCGGGGATTTAGCTCAGTGGTTCTGGCGCCTGCCTTGCAAGCGCAAGGACTCAAGTTCGATCCCTGGTACCAAAAACAAAAAAGAGTCGGTGGCTTGGGAATGTGAACTGCGCCATGTTCCCCATGAGTAGAACCCCATGTCATCACTGGGTTGGTGGCTCAGGTCACACAAAAACTGTTGGGAGGGCAGTGGAGTCTATCAGTGCATCAAGGGGAGAATCCAGCTTCCTCACACTGGCTAAGGACCAGGATTTGTTCCCCATTTCCTGTTCTTTCTGAGGAGTGGCTCACTTCCAGTTGTGGAGCACTCCTTTTCTTATTCCTTCCAGGGACAGGGAATGAGATCAGGACAGAGCACTCAGAGGCATACCACTCTTTGGTGTCATGGTGACTGGTTCAGGGATGGCCCAAATCTAGGCCAGCCAGCCACAGTGAACTTCAGGACTTTTCCAGGAGGTAGGTGGTTGTTTGCTGGGCTTGCACCTGGAAGATTATGTAACTGCTAGGTGCTACCATGTAGAGCCTGAGAGTGAGTCCAAAAACCAAGGCCAGAGACAGGGAAACTGAGATAGTGGGTCTTGAGGACATGGTTTCAGCCCCTGTATCTAACTATGCCTTTTAAATCACGTGAGCCAAGAAATTCCTGTTTTACCTTATAAGCTAGTTTTGGTCAGCTTTTCTGTTTTTTTAATAATCCAAAGATATCTAAATGATACACCAGGTAAGGATAGATAACCATTCGACTGTCGCTTCCTGGACAGTCCCCAAGAACTGACATCAGCTAAGAAAGAGATTCTTCCTTCAGAGCCAACGTCTTTCAGTGGAGAAAGAAGAATGAGTCATGCTGGCCACAACACAGTTTCTATTTACTGGGGAAAAAACTCACTTTCATCCTAATAGTAAGAGACCAAATACTCAAGAAAGGCTTAAGAATTTAACCTTTGATTCCTACATAAGGGCATAAACCTAGTATGTAACTGCTGTGCTCAGTACCTTCCCTTGACATTCCCTTGTACAGGAGGCAGAAAAGAGCATCTGTTCATAAAAAGTGTGTCTTCTAAAGGCAGAGGACCTGTGTGATGGTTATACCTTAGGGGCAATAATGAAATCTTTCTTGTCACATGAAACAAACAAGGAAGAACCTTAAAGGGTATAATTTTATTTCTGGGACCACAGAATAGTGAATTCTGTAGATTTCTAACATAGCAAGTTTCTAGAAAAGCTCAAAAATATGACTTTCTTTATAACTAAAAGCTCTATAGCTTTAATTTCTTTGTCACCGCGCACTCCTTGAATAATTTCTTCCTGCAGAAGCATATGTATCCAAAAACTTTGTTTAGACTGACCCTTTGCCTTTCCCATTCCCGAGACTCATGGAGAGCTGCCACAATGCAGGGTTTCTGGATCGAAGACAAATGTTACTGTACATTTTTCTGAGGAACAATCCAACTTCTAACCAAGAAGAGTGAACATGAAACTAAACCAGCAGCAGTTGGCAGGTCTGTGAACTATTCCATGAACCACATTTAGCAAACTAATGATTAGCTTCCACTTATTACTCTGTAACCATAGGAATATTGCATAACATTTCAGGGAGGAGAATCAAATTACAGTTCGGCTAAAGGGCTTTTTATAGCACTGATGAGGCAAGGCTCATAACTTGAACACGTTCAATTCATTTAATATCTAAACTAAACTGAATACAGCCTCCCAAGCTACCCCACTTCCAAAGAGCGCTGCCAATTTCTGTACTGCACTCCCAAGCTCCCTTCACTTAAAGAAGATGCCTGGTGGCATCTCAGTGTGTTCATGAGATATCATCTCCAATTTTCTGCAGAATTCAGCACATTTCTTCCCCACTATCTCGCTCAACCACTCTAGAGCTTAGTTTTGAAAAAATTTAGAGGAGCAGTCCGATGTACAAAAAGGCACCACGAAGGTAAAGTGAACTGAATGTATCTCCTCTCCCACCATTTACCACATGAATTCACAAAACCAAGAGACACAGGCTGGAAACAGTGTTTACAAGGGGAGGTCACGTTAGGGAGATCACACCAGACCAGAACCAAGAACTGTATAGTCAACTGTTGTACTGCTGACACACAATGGAGGACACTCAGAGCTACTATGTACCCCTAAATTTCCTAATGATATATTACAATGTATGCAAATGAAATATTTTTCTCTTTAACTGAGATTAATATATGCACTTAGTAAAAAAGTTCAATTAAAAAAATAGATATATAAAAGAGTAATGTTTTTCTACGGTATAGGCAACTACTAATACCAGCTTCTGTGTGTGTGTGCGTGTGTGTGTGTGTGTGTGTGCATGAGCACAGCCAATCTCTAACATTTTATGCACATACAAGCATACATATGAATACATACATCTTTTAAAAAACACAAACATCCTAGCATGTGCAAGGCTCTGCATTCAATCTCCAAGACTGAAACAAAACAAATCCACAAAGGGAAGCATAGTACATATCATTCTGTGCACTGTTACTTTCATTTGACAATCTCTCTTGAAACTGGTCCATGTTGGCACATAAATATATCCACTTCACAGGATTTTACTGTATAAATGTACCACAGTTAATTTGAAACCACCTTTTCATGGAAATTAAGGTTGTTCCCCAGTTTTTCTATGATAAACAGTGATATAAACTACTATTCACTTGCATATGTCTGACCTGTAGGGACAATCCCAGAAAATGAAATTTCTGAATCAAAAATTTGTGCCTTTATTTTGAAAGATAGCTCAAGCACTGCTCTGATGCATAAGTTTAAATGATTCCTTCTTACATCCTTGATAGTAATGTGGAGATATTTGCAAATCTAAGGGGTTGAAAAAAGTTTCTTAGTATTTTAATTTGCATTTTTAATGAGGAAGAAGGTTAAAAATCCTCTCCTGGGCCCGGGATTTAGCTCAGTGGTGCTGCACTGAGTGGTGCCTCACAAGCACAAGGTCCTGAGTTGAATTCCCTGGTACTGTCAAAAAAACCCCAAACACCTCTCCTGTAGGTGGGTGTGTTTTTAAAGTGAAAGTTATTAAATTATACTTAGCCCTTTAGGTGTGTACAGTACAGATTTTTGACACACATTTATAGTCAAGTAACTACTACCAGTATCAAGATACTTTATCACCCCAAGAAATTCCTGTGCTACATTATACTCACTTGTCTCCTTCCACCTCCACCCCGGCAACCATTTTCTAATAACATAATATTTTTGAAATCCACCCATGTTGTTACACGTACCAGTAGAGTAATCCTTTTATTACTGAGTAGTATTCAATGTTATGGATATGCCATAATTTATTTATCCATTCAATAGTTGATGGACATTTGGGTTGTTTCCAATTGTGGCTGCTATAAAGCTACTGTAAATATTTGAACACAGGGCTTTGCATGGACGACATTTTCATCTCTTGGGTAAACACAGTAGCTATGAATGGGACTGAGTAAAAATACTTAGGAGTAGGTCACATAGTATATTTAACATTAGAGAAAACACCCAAATTGTCTTCTAAAATGTTTGGGCCATTTGGCATTTCTACCACCACATATGAGAGCTGTCATTGCTTTATATCCTCATCAACACATGATATGGTAAGCCTTTTTAATATTAGCTACTCTAGTAGATGTGTGGTGATATACCATTTTTTTTCAAATTTGTATTTCCTTAATGACTAATGGTGGTGTCAGTCTTATTTTCATGGACGTTTTGGCCATTTGGATATTTTCTTTAGTGAACTGTTTTATCAAATATTTAGTCTTTCTTAAAAATTGGGTTGGTTACGTTATTGGATTATAGGACTCTTTAAAATATATTCTGGATACAAATCATTTATCATATATCTTTTAAAAATACAGTATTTTATTTTGATATGCAACTTCTCTTTTCTAATAATATCTCTTAAGAGCAAAAGTTTTTAATTTGAATGAAGTTCAACTGGACATATATTTCTTTTTTTAATTAATTTTATTGGTACATTTTAAGTATACAAGATAATGATACTCATCTTTGGAAATTTGCACCTTTGCATAATCTATCTTGGTTTTTATTTTTTCCCCATTCTCCT